GTGGTGTTACAACTACAAGGTTTTATGATAATTTTTTTAGACAAAACCAAAAAAGACTGAATCTATCACAATTTCACCAAAAATTTTAAATTTTGAGTTGACGGAGAGGACGTAGTGTTGCGTTACACTTAGCAGATGTCTGAGCATTAAAAGTTGATTTTATTGGATTCAACACATTTTAGTTCTTAAAGCTTTTTTACTGCAGAAGAAAATAAACCCAGCACACACAGAAAGACGACAAATGTTTTAGCCAAGTCTGTTCAGTGCCTTCATATTTGCAATATTTTCCAGGAAGAATTACACTCAGTTGTGAAATGAAGAAATGTGCTATCTAGTATTAGTCATGGCTATCAACTCTTTCAGGGATGCACTGTGCAGAGTGTTAAAATAAACAGTCATGCAATTAAAGAAGTACTAGAATACCTTTTTAAGGCCTCTGCTCTGCACACAGGAGATTAGTAAAGACTGTTTTTTTTATATCAGTCAGAAAAGAAATTTTCTGTGTTGAAAGCAGATTAGAAATTAAACCATGAAAAATACATTGTCTTCCGACACATCAAAGGAAGTAAGACGAGTTGAATAATGAAATCAGTTTCTATCTACATGTCTACTTGAATACTTTTGATATTATAGACCGGAAACCCCCAGATGTCTTAGAATATGTGAATATCAGTAATTGTGTTTAAAAAAATATCAGATTTTTCTAAAAGCATGTCCACAATGATGAAGCTACTGCTCTGACTAGTCATAAAAATAATGCAATATATAAAAGTGAAGTAAAACTTTTAGAAATACAGGTGAGCGTTCAGAAAAAAAAGGCTAGATTGATACAATCTGTGCCATAAACATGTTCCCATGTAAAAAGCGATGATTTTAATTCTTAAAACACTGGTATTCAAATTAGCAAGTTTTTTGTTTTTTTTTTATAAAAAAAAATCAACCGGATTTAGCCAATTCCAAAATCCTGTACTGTTGTGTAATAAAAATGTAAGCAAGAAGTCGTACTGTTGCCATGAAAGAAATTGTGAGTGGACTTTGGGTATCCAAAAAAATAAAAACAGAATCTTAGGTGTGAAGCACGTACACAGCTGGACTTCCTCATGTGGAAGAGAACCTGCTACTTTCACCATCAATGTAAGCGTTGCTTTGTCGAGAAACAGGTGTTGATTGGAAAGTTTACTGTTCACAACTTATGGCTTCATGTGAGGCGTGTAACTAACTGAGGTGATGAATTGAGGAAGTATCAAACAAAAGAGTTGGGCTGGCTGAGAAACAAATGACTTGAGAATAGGTTTTGAAATATGTTCCACAATAAAATACGTTTCTCTTCAAAAAGAAATTACTCCTTGAAAAATGACTGAGATACTGCAGTTGTCAAATGTGTAGTACAGTTGAAGTGAAAGTTTGTGTGATGCAAAAAAAAGGTGACACCACATTGAATCATTTCAAACTTTTCCACCTCTACAGTTTCTTGTTGCGTGGAGGGAAACACTGGCCTTGACACATTGGTATTCTTTTGGAGTAATCCACAACAATCACCCCATATCTTGGCAGTTTTTGCCCACTCTATGAAAATTGCAGAGGGTTTCCAAACCAGTCAGATTGTGAAGACATGTTTTGTCCACATCCCTCCTCAGAGGATCCAACATCCTTTATGTAAAATAAATGAAACGACATGAAGTTCTGGACTCTGAATTTTCAAACTTCAGTTTTCCTCTCATGAAGCCAGTTTTTGTTGACGTATGACTGCTCTGACAGCAGTGCTAAAAAAAAAATCAAATCTTTCTGGAACTTAATTATTACTTAATTCCATTTAATTGCCACTTTTTATTCAAATGACTTCACTGAGATGATGTACTGACTCTGTGTGTCCTTCACAGAGTCAGTAATGCGACATTAGAGACAGAAACCAAGACATGAAGTGTTCTGTTTATGCGAGGACCGTGTAATGCGACTGCAGGTAATGTGTGATTTCAGTCACAGCAGCACTGCAGAGACAATAGGTTTGGCAGCAGTTATCAGGATTTAGTCAGACACACAGATTTGGACGTAGCTCAGCCTCTTTTCCCAGGCTCACCTCAAGCCGCCCTGGTCCACAGAGCCAGCTCCATTATTGCCCCTTTAATGAGGTGATATCCAGACACATGGGAGCAGATGTTGCAAAGAAAATTCGCTGAGGCACGACCGTGATCGATGCACACCTCGCTCCACATCCGTGGCGTAATTTGGCGGATGGCATCAGGATAACAACCTGCATTATGGGGAGACAGCTGTCACCATGGCGCCTAGGCAGCCAAAGCATTGGCTCCTGCCTTATTTCAGGCAGAGGCGGGGATGCCAATTAAGCTGATTTACAGCTTTGCTTGTGTCGTCACCACCTCGAAATCTGCGTCTCAGTTCAGTTAAATTAAAAAAAAAAGAAATAAACCTTAGGTATAATGAGAAAAAGAAGCTTAGGAAAAGCTCTAGGAGAAAGCTTAAATGAGGTGGCCCTTTAACAAATAAATTTTATATGTCAGAGCATAATATGAGGATTCATTTGCATAAACATTTTAATAGTTTGTCATGCTAAAATCAAAAACATAAATTTGCTTTAATTGAATTTCATGTCATATAGTCCAACACATGATGGTGTTTAGTTGGGAAGTGGAAGGAACAGTGAATTTAATTTGTATTCTATTAAGCCTGAAAAGCTGTGTGCATTTATATACAGCACATTTTGCACTCATACTCAGGTAAAAAATTAACTATTGACTATGCAATGCTTTATGTATTTTCCAGGCACATTGTGCTATTTAACGCCATAATCACATAACTGTGTTACCTTCCATTCTGCATGTACCAAACATAAGTTAAAAGAAATTAAATTTTGCAATTTGATGCCTTGGAATTGGGCCTCTTTAGAAAGATGTTACTCTTTCTGACACTCCATCTTCAGCACATCATCAAAACAATGTTCCTTCGTTATGCTGTTAACCGCTGTGATACTGTATGATAAGCCCAGCAGATGTTTAGTTAAGTCTGGGGTTTGCTAATTGCTGCTGCCACTAGTCTGGAGGATTTACATGAGGAAGGCAAGGGAGAATGTTGTTTAGTTTTAGTCACTGATGAGGCATCTATGGTAAGCCTTAAAAATGTACAGTAAATTTATAGCTGACTGAAATGATAACTTTAAGGAAAATAACTTTGTTTATACCTAAGAGAAAGTAGTATGAAATTACATATTTGCTTTTGTAAATAGAACGACTTTGTTATGTTTTATTGATCATTTTCTAGCTCTTCCCGCACTTTACACAAGTAAACTGATTTAGAGTTCATCTCCCAACTCGCAAAAATGACACTCGCAAACACTCTCAACCCAATTCTTAGTGTTCAAAGCAATTTTGCTAATACATATGTGCAGAAACTTTAGTCCCTAATTGGCAAAGGATGTGCAGACATACCCCAGAACACATGAAGCTGTAATTGCAATGAAATGTCATTCTACAAATTATTGGCTCGAGGGATTGTTTTTTTGTAAATCATTTTAAATCCTGTATTCAATTCCTTCTGTTTCACAATAAGGTCATATTTCTGTTCTTAGGGCTAAAATCCTAAGAATCGTATTTTCTGAGAAACATGCCTTTTGATATAATGCAATATCAAAATTGGAGTCTCATCTTAGTTTTATGGTTTTTACACAGTATTGCACAAATTTCAAGTCCATACATTTACCATTTAAATACAATTTTTTCGTTTTGGATCAATGTACTTTGCATCAATGTTAGCATAGTCATTTCACCATGAGATGCTCTCTATGAAGTTTGACTCGAGAGGTATAAATAAGTAGTAAGAGCAGAGTTGAATTATTTTACACTTATAAATCTGACATGCTGCAGTTCATGAAATGCTAAAGAAGAGTGAGTCTGAGGAGGTGGTAAGACCATGTAAAATTGAGGAAGAGGATTTTTGATCAGCCGTTGCTAGAGTAGAAAACCAGTTTTAAACCTGATGGGATGCAAGTTTTCTCAATTTACTCTTCTGTAAGCTGCAACAGAGTGAAAGAAAAGGCACCGACCACTTTGAGAAACAGCTGTAACTCAAATACTAATGCCGATTAAAAGCCAAATGCTACAAAAATAATGTGCATATGCTAAAAATCCTAGAATTCACGATTATTAAATATAAGATGCTTAAGTAGGATTTTTGCTGAGGAAATTTCTTCCATTCTTGCTTCTTACCTAAAACCAGCTCACCTTTTATAATTTAAAATGGCAGCTTGCGTATGCTGCTTCTACTTTAAATTTGCAGAGATGTAAAAAGATACAACCTTTCATTTGAAGTTTTCAGATCACCAAATTTCACTTTAATCACCATTTGTACTGACTAAATGCATGTCAGTAAAAATGCATTTTTGTGCTGACATGGATATTAGTTTGATGATCAGTGAAATAAGACATCAAAACTAGAATGTCTTAGGCTAGAGACATTATTAAATTTGAAATTAGGGTTGTGCTCCATGGTTTATTTACACTCCTGAGTCTTGTAATCCTCAATTTCTGGAGGGCCTCTTCTGATTTCACTAATTCCATCTTCATCTCTTTATGCATTTGTATGTCAATATTGAATATAACAAACTTACACCTTGAGCCACTCTGACTTAAGATCTGTTTTAAATCTGGATGTTGCATTGTTGCAGGGGGAAATAGCACAATTTGATAAAAACAAAAAACAAAATTAATGATCACATAATTGATTACCAAAGTTGTTTGTAACAAACTTCTTTTTACTGGTACAGTAAGTATCCATATCCACAAAGCTTTTCTTATGCTTAGTGACAAGACTTGACAGTAGGGATTTATGTGTAAACAAGTAGTCTCAATCAAACATAAAATGCAGACGTCTATTTGGCCTAAAATGTGTATGGTCGTTTTAAATGCCTCTGGTTTCAACTTGTCTTTTTTTCATACGCCACAGGGTGGCGGTAAAGAGCCACGACTCTCACTGCCAGGAAGAAGAAAACTCTACTTCTGTGACGTGTTATTCCTAAACAACATAGCTAGTGGGCTTTCTGTTACGGTATCTGGTTCGTTTGTTTGCTTTAAATATGCTGAAAAAGAAACCAAGTGGCTCGGAAAAGAAAAGGAAACACTCGCACTCCGAAGAGCGACAGCACAGCAACAAGCGCCGCAGCTCAGAGTCACAATTAGAGGTAAAATATTCCGGTTAGCTCATTGAACTGGTGCTCAGACCAAGCTGCAGATGACTTGCAGATACATTACCAGGTCGTACCTGAGAGCGGATGATATGGAAAGAATTATGTTTATTCTCCTCTATTTTTAGAGACGATTTTCTCCACGTTAGGAGTGAATCCTTTCTTGCTGAAGTTTACTTAAAAGTGTAACAGTTTTCCATCGTCATGTACTGGCTTGCAAAAAAAAAAAAAAAAAAAAAAAGCATTAGACATCTAGAATGTGACAATTTTCCCCACTATTTTTTGCAACGACAACAAAAATAAGTTCAATTTGATTGAGGATCTCTGAAGATAATTTTCCTATTCTCACCACACATTCTCAACTTATTTCTAGACTTTGACTGGGCCATTCTAACACAAGAATAGGCTTACACCTGAATACCATTCCTTCGTAACTCTGGGAGTGTGTTAAATGATGCTGGATGGGGGATCTTCTCTCTCTTGATGCACATTTAGCATCCTCCACCTTCCAGTGAACTCTGACCAGCTTCCCTCTCCATTCTGAATCAAAGCATTGCCAACCAATTAAGCTGTTATACACAGGTTGCACATTCAAATGTAACAGAATCATTTAAAATGATTTTGAAAAATAGGTAGGAACCTTGAATCCAGTTTCTTTGGAAAAAGTTGTTTGGCTGAAGGGTTGCCTTCTCTTTATTGCAGGACTCCAAAGATGAGCTCACCGACCCCGAGCTGGACCGGGTTGGCAGCGACATCGAGGAAGGCGGTCTTGACCTCAGCGTGCCCTTCCAGCCAATCAAAGCTTACATCAGCAACAAGCAGGAGATGCTGCAGCAGTGCTTCCACGTGTTGGGAGAGAAGAAGGTTCGGAAGATGCTGCCCGATGAGCTCAAGGTAGCTTTTCGTGTACGGAAAAGTCTTAGAACTCTGAATCTTGTATTCAGACACTTTTATTTTCAATAGGATTGCAGTTTAGAAGAAATCAAAACTCTCTGTTGGGAGCAGCTGGAACCGATCTCAGAGAAAAATCTCACTCAAATTTTAGCAGGTAAGATTTAAAGCCAGTTTAACAAATATTGGTAAAAATTCACCTTGCTTTGTGATGGAAACCAAATCTGTAGTGTTCCTTCAGGAGAAGAGATAACAGCTGGAAACAGTGATGGAGGGACTTTAGAGAACCAGTGAGCAATCATTTATTTGATTTAGAGCAACATTTCAAAATAAAAGTACATTTACAAGTTGCTTATATATGTATCCTATTTATTTTTTTCTTCCAGACAGGATGACAATGTTGACTCCACGTCCTGCTTGAAAGAAAGCGCTAAAACCGATGATGTAAAACAAGGTAATTATTTTAAATCGCCAGAGAAAGGTGCCCCTCTAATATTCAATTCTAAAAACTGTCATTAAAAATTCCTTCGAGCAGAGGGAGGCGGCTCTGGCGAGGAGAGCGACGTCCTGAGCATAAATGCAGACGCTTACGACAGCGACATCGAGGGGCCGAAGGAGGACCAGGCCGTCAAAGCCGACAAGGTGGTCGCGAAACCGGACAACGCTGGCGGCAAGCAACCTGACCAGACCCCTACAAACCCCAAGCCTGCAGCTCCAGAGACAAAGAAGGACATTCAGAGTGACATAGACAAAAGCGTCAGCGAAATCTTAGCTCTCTCTTCAACATCGAGTAAAGAAGAAGCTGTGGAAGCGAGCAGCATGACGTTGCAGCCTGCGGGCGTCGAAGTACCCGCTCAAGGCGGAGCTTCAGTTTGTTCGCCGTCCATCCAACAGCTGGAGCTGCTGGAGCTGGAGATGAGGGCAAGGGCCATAAAGGCTCTGATGAAAGCTGGAGACAAGAAAAAACTTTGTATGACAAACAACATTTAGCTTATTTTGCTGAAAGTTGTATTTAATTCTTTCCATGTAGAGCTTTTCACATTGGACTTGAACTGAACTCGTATGATTTGAGTTATTTTAAGACATTACGGAATGTCTTCATCATTAAAATATTGTTGTTTTGCAGATACTAGTTTTAGATGCATTATGGATCAGAGTTCTTGTGCGGCTTGGAAAAGTCTGGAATTCATTCACAAGTTTTCTGAGTCTGGATTTCTATGGCAAAGGAAAATGGTGCATGAAAAAATATTGCTTGCAGATTTTGTTTCTCCATGCCATTTAGTCATTTTATTTATTTGTTCCTTCTTTCTTTTCACCTCTACTCCCTTCTGCTTTTGTTTTCCTTTTTCTCTCGTCACCCCATTTCTTCTTTCATTTTGTCTTTTCATTTCTGCCTTTCTTTATTTTTCCTTCTTTCTTTTCTGCCATCAACCCTGTTTATTTTCTTTCATATATCTTGTTGCTTTCAAGATCTTCCTTTCTTTTACATTTTCCATCCTTGATCGCTCCGTTTTCTTTCATGCATTTCCACTTTTACTTGTCATTTTCTTCTTCTTTGCCTTTCTTCCTCACTGCCTCACTTTCTTGTTCCGTACTCGAAAAACAAAGAAAGTAGACTTGACTTCAACCATTAATCCTTAACGCCTTTGTCTCTGCTCTTCCTTTTCTCCATTCTTTCCTTCCCTTCTACATCATTGTGTCTTACTATTTTTCTTCTTTCGTTATTTATTCTCCTTTTTTTGCCCTTTTTCCTTCGGTCCTTTGTCAGTTCTTAGTGAATTTTTTTTATTTATACTTGAAAAGAAGTGCAAAAAATTTTAATGTGACAAATTTCAGAATGGAAAAGTGTTGATTTTATAGAAGACAAGTGGTCATTTCCCTTTATGGTCACTAGATGGCAGTGGCGCTCTGTCCCAGAACAGAGCAGGGATGCTTGACTGCAGTAATCTGCAGAGGACAGCCGCTGTATAGATTTGAGTGCCTCATGTTACAGTGGTACTGCAGCTCCCATTTAGCCAGCATTAGAACTGAACATTACTGGGAGCAGCGATCTGAAATGAAGCGGTGTCCAGTCTGTTGGAGTATTTAGACCCAGGTCAAAGTTTTCACACTAAAACCACAGAGCATATTACAAACTCTGCCTCTTTATGTCTAATTCTGATTTCTAAAGATATTTGAATTCACGCCATCCTTTCATTCAAAAGGTTTTCTGTCAGTTTGATAAAGAGTTGCTTTGTCTGAATATCAATCGTTCAGTGTTTGTATGAGGCTACACTCTAAGAGTGAAATAACCCTGCACCCTGCCGCCGCCCCTGCAGCACTCAATGAAATGTGCAGTAACAACCCAGTTGCCTCTTCAAGCTATTTGCATTTAAAAGGTTTATTTCATGGTAGAGGTGAGGGTGGGAGGGTTAAATGTGTCATTTTCTGTGTATTTATCCAAAGGTGTCTTCGCGTTCCCCAAGGACAGAAAAGAGAAGGGGAAAAAAAAGTCTACTTTGGTAAAGACGTCGAGATGCTTGTTACGCCTGCGTCTGGCGTCCTCATACCACCATTAGACGGCCAATTACGATCCTGTTGGTATGAATAAAACATCACCCCAGAACATGCTTATAGGCTGAAAAATAGTTGATGATACTTTCTGAATTCCGACAAACTCTATGATCCACGTTAAAATACTGAGCCCCAGCATTTTCAAAGTGAAGAGAAGGTGATACTTAAAGAACGAGAACAGTTCATCTGTTTTGATGACACCTTTCAATCAAATTGCCATTCGGACCAAGGTCCTCTAACAGTGAGGATTTTTTCAATTACCCTGTTGTTGCTAAGGTCAGTATTTTACAGATGCTTTATTCTCCACATATTAAAATGTTTACTATCACAAATCTGAAATATGAAACAGACTCAAGGCTCTGCTCGGTTTGTTTAGCTAATGTCTATTTGGGATAATCAACATTAAAGCTGAACGATTGGCATAGGTAGTTTCATTTTAGCAAAACAAAGATGGAGTTAATGCATAAGGCACATTGCTCCTGCAGAATGTTTTTCAGTTTATGCAATCTGACGGGTTTTGAAAAGCACATGTTCAGAAGTCAGTCAGGAGTATCTGCTGTCTCGACACATAGAAAAATTCAGACATCTTGTACTTCGTTTTAGTAATTATATACAAATGTTTGACATAATTTAAGTTTTTTGAGTAGGACAAGCTGAAACAAAAATGCTGCTCTCTTATTATCTTAAAGTTTGTTGCATCTTAAAGACTGGATTATGCTAGAGCAGGGGTTTTCAAAGTATGAAAGGGTGAGACCCCTTCCAAGGAGCACAATGCCTGCTGCACCCCCCTCCCCCAATAATCAACCCACACACAAACAACTGCCACTACAAAACACCTTCTAATTGCTTTTATTTTAGAACCATCTCATCTTTTACAATGACACTTTATCTGAATGAAATTTAACACATGAACATTTTAAAACATTTCCTCCCATTTTAATTATTTTATCAGGGCCTTTGTATGGCAAATATGCCCTTTTGTCATTTTTGTAATGACAAGAACAACCCCAAACTCATTTTTCAACCGTTTTCTCAAACAAACGTTACATCTGAGATTCGGAGTTTCATGTTTGAGATACCAACAGTGTTTTCACATCTTAACAAAAACATTTTGATCAGATCTTTGGAACACATCTGCAAATGTTGCACATTTTCTTAAAATTAAAAAAACAAATCAAAACCCTAAACGGTTGCAAAATTGTAGAGCTCTTTTTGTGGCTCATCTAACAATTTATCTCGAGCTAAAAGAGCGTGCTGTATGAAAGAGCGGAGGCATACAAAGGAAAAAAAACAATTATGCACGCTATGCGCATCCTTTCTTTTTCTATCACGGCCCTGAATCATGTGTAACTCATTTTATTTATGATTTTAACTAAATAGGCAACATGGCAACACATTGGCAACATTACTGTTCAGCTCACGCACGTACACCATCAATTGAGCGCAGTAGACCTTTTTCACGGCAACCGGAAGCTGTATCTGAAAGGGCTGCGACACTTCCTGTTTTGGTGACTGTAATTCAAGTACTCTGAAAAACGGCTCTCCTCCTCCGGTCCTTTTCATCGTCCTTACTTAATTTGCCAGCCCTTTCTTTCGCTGATGCAGAGGAAATAGCAGCGGCTAATTCATCCACCAACAAACGTGTGAAAGGATGCAAGTTCTTCCACGAAAAATATATCCACCGCTATCAAGGTAAGAAAAGGCCTAGCTTAGCGAGCTAACCGCTAGCTACAATATATGAACTACACAAACATCGTAATGAAGCTTAACTTAGTTTGCTAAATTACGTGGAATATTAGAGACAAACATAATTTAAACTTTTCAATTATATTTTGATTACATTCTGAAATGTATTTGCCAGTACAGTTTGTGAAAAACAGCATTCTAGGACTTAGTTATGAGATACTAGATGACGCTTGATGTTGAAACTGCATGCCTGCAGTGTCCAATACTGAAAAGTCCTCCGGTAGCATCATTCTGCACCACATTGGCTCCAGACTTCCCTTCTCTTCCTTTGATGCTGCATAGTCTTCCAAAAGGTCTGTTGGCGACATCAGTCCTCTAGTCCAGCTGAAGGGAGAACGAGGGGCTTTGACTAACACTGTCCACTCCCTGTTGCCGCACATCTGCCGCACATTTGCGCCCTGCACCGAGCAGCTCACCCTGGAACGCTCTGGGTGCCAAGCCGAAACGGGAGTCTCGCACTGCGGATCCGATGAGACGATTATCAGGGAGAACCCCGCACCTGGACGAATCAGCGTGGCCGGCTCTGAGCCGAAACCCACCTTCAACTTCAACACCTGCTCCGCCAAAGAAAGACAAACAAGCAGCTGCAACTAAAACGCCTCCACCGACCCCACGGACAAAGCAACCAGCAAGAGCCTCAAAACATTCTGACTCTGTGGGAATCCCACTGAAAAACAGATTTTCTGCACTCCAGCCTGAGCCTCTGAGTGAAACTTCGCCTTTAAACATCAACAGTGAGGCAAGACCAACACAACCATCCCCCAAAGCTCCCAAGGACAAAGCGACCACCAGGAAAACTAAAGGTAACCCAAAAGTGCTTGTTGTTGGAGATGAGGCAGTAAAGGGAATCAGTGACGTTTGCAATCCAAGGAAAACAAGAGTGATGTATTTTCCTGGTGACACTGTATCTGATTTAACCAACAAACTGCTCTCTCTAACCACTGATCAGCCAGATATTGAGACTTTAGTTGTGCATGTTGGAGCCAACGATCTGGCAAAGCAAAAGTCTGAGATTCTAAAAAAGGACTTTAACATTCTTCTGGACACTATGGGAAAACTGAGAATGAAGTTATTTCTCAGTGGTCCAATTCCATCACCTCAATGGGGAGACGAAAAACACTCCAGGCTGCTCACGATCAACAAATGGCTGATTAAAGCCTGCTCTACCAGCTCAGTGACCTTCATCGATAACCTCTGGATCTATTGGCAGCGCTTTCACCTTTTTGGAAGAGGAGGACGCAATCTTAATAAACATGGGATAAAGCTACTCACTGCAAACCTTTTTTATTTTATCAACAAGGACAGCAACAGGATCATCGCGTCAGAAGAACAGGCTCAAGGATGTCTGCCTAGGATGGAACGCTCCCCGGATCAGGAGCACGATATTCCAAAACAAGCTGATAAATCGACTGGAGACGGAGCGACTGCTTCCCTCGCTCCTTCCCCCTCCCTCTGCTCCTCCAAGCATTCACAGGATTCAATGGATACCAATGAAGAAATGTCTTCCGGACCAGAGTTTCTTAAATTTACAGATGGAATGAATCAACAGGTTCGCCTCGGCACGTCTCTCCTTAGCACTCACGTAGCAGACATCACTACATTTAAGCAACCTGCCCCTGACCTCCCAGAGGATCCATCACTCTGCGTTTCTGAGGTCTGAGGCCGGGGACCAGATATTATCTTTACACCGTCTTCCTCCAGAATGCATCTGGCCCCCTGGAAATGCAGAACAGGACATTACCTGTCCGGATCACTACAAGAAAATTTACAAAAAATAGAAAATATGAAATACAGCGGTCCTAATTCAAACCTCAGAGTGATCCCCTGCCTAAAGGAACCTCAGACTGAAAATCTTTTGGCCTCCAAGCCACTTAAAATAGCTCTTTTAAATATCAGATCACTCTGTGCTAAAGCTCTGTTAATTAATGATTTCATCACTGAGTATAATGTTGATGTTATGTTTCTGACAGAAACATGGTTGAATGACGATAATGACCAAATTGTACTCATTGAATCAGCGCCTCCTGACTACAATTTTTTAAGTGAGAATAGAAAACATAAAAAAGGAGGAGGCGTGGCTTCTATATTTAAAAATACCATAAACTGTAGTAAAATCTCTTTCGGTCATTTCACATCTTTTGAGTATCTTGGAATTCAGGTTAAAGGCTTCAAACGAACTTTGACACTAACTTTATACAAAACTCCAGCATATGTGGAAAATTTCTTTACTGACTTGAATGATCTTCTTTCTCTCATATGCATTGATTATGATTGTTTAATAATTGTTGGTGATTTCAACATTCATGTGGACAAACCCGAAAACAGAGGAGCAAAAAAGCTCTCTGATATTTTAGAAAATTTTGGTTTAACACAACATATTAAACAAGCAACACACACTCAAGGACACACACTGGACCTGGTTATCAGTAAGGGTGTGAATATTTCCAATGTCTCTGTAATTGATGTCGCCCTGTCGGATCACTTTGCTGTTATCTTTGAAGGTTCTTTATTCTTTGACCCACTTGGACAAACAGCTACTGTCACAAAACGTTCTTTCACAGAAAACACAGCAGAAACATTTAATCAAATCTACTCTTCCTCCTCACCCTTAAGCTGTAATGATGTAGATCAGTTGTTAGATGATTTTCAGTCTAAAGTTTCATATATCATTGATTCCATTGCCCCAATTAAAGTAAAGGTTTTGACTGGTAGAAAGAAATCTCCATGGAGAAATGCACAAATAGTTCGGTCTGCAAGACAAGTCTGCCGCAGGGCAGAACGACAATGGCGTAAAACTCAACTTCACGTTCATCACGACATCTACAAAGAAAAACTACGTAACTATCACTTAACACTAAAACATGGAAGGGAGGCTTTCTTTGCAGATGTCATAAAGAAAAACATCAATAATGCTCGAACTTTATTTGCAACAGTTGACAGGCT